GCATGAAGATACACTGAAGGTTTCTGAATGAGTAGGTGCTATGATCTGCCCTGTAGAGTATAAACAGACAGGAAAATGGAGAACATGGTTGTCAAGGGACAAGAATGTAGACAGCTGGACTTGCCCGGAGGCTAGGGCAATTGTATGAGCAAGGCACAGACTTGTACGAGGCCAGGATGAGGGTAGTAACCAAGAGGGAACGAGTAAAGGATGGGAGGGGAGTGGATTCTAGCACCTGAATAGACATATGGACTGAGATAAAAGAGGCAGAGACACCTAGAAAGTTTCAACTCTGTGAAGTTCAGGACCAAAACAAACTAGGAAAGACAGGATGGAGACAAAGTTGGGGATGGTAGACAAGGTTAGGCTTTTCTTTCTTTCTCTTTCTTTTCTTTCTTTCTTTCTTTCTTTCTTTCTTTCTTTCTTTCTTTCTTTCTTTCTTTCTTTCTTTTCTTTCTTTCTTTCTTCTTTCTTTCTCTTTCTTTCTTTCATTTTTTTTTTTTTTTTTTTTTTACCTGTAAAACAGAAGTGCTGACAAGCCACCCAAGTTAGTGACCAATAAGTCATGGAATGTCAGGTCAGGTTTTAGGCTAGAAATGTGGAATGCTGAAACATCTAGGCACAAGTGATGGTTAAAGCCATGGAGGAATGCTGTGTTACTGTTCACCAATTTCTACTTCCCCTCCCTGGAGGAGATTATTCTTCCCTGACCATGATAATCAAGCTTGACCATGGAACTTGACAAAGTAAAGTGAGAAGAATATAAAGTGATATACTTTTAAGAGAGAAATTTAGAAGTCTTTTTTCTCCCCCTGCTAGAGAATTGGTAATGTCCAGCTAGTGACTCCTTCATTAGCCTAGCCTGCAGTTAAATCAACCTGGAAAAAAACCACAGCTAATATGTAGTGTGAGGGAGAAATAATTAGTTGTTGTAAAAGCCACTAGGATTTGGAGGTTGTTTATGACTGCAGTATAAACTAGCCTAACTTAACTGATAGACCATGGGAATGAATAAGATTACCCAAAAAGGAAAACTAAAGAAAGATCATAAGATGACCAAGCCTGGGACTTAATTCTATGATTGTGAATTTGTCATTTCACAGAAAGAAGAATGAGCTACATTTGCTAAGTTACTTTGGGAATACTTCTTAATTTTTCTCATTACTTCTTCTGGGCAAAAAACCCTCACATTTAAAAAAAAAAAAAACCTTGCTAGATGAGACAAAATCATTCTGGCCATATTTGGAAATGTTTGCTCTTTGAATTATTCTCTAATGATTAGCAACCATTCTTACGTACCAACAATTTTGAGTGCTTGATATATTTTTTAAAATATTATTTTTGGAAATTTTTCTTTTTTTTTTTAAGATTTTATTTATTTATTTGAGAGAGAGAATGAGATAGAGAGAGAGCACGAGCGGGAAGAGGGTCAGAGAGAGAAGCAGACTCCCTGCTGAGCAGGGAGCCCCATGCGGGACTCGATCCCGGGACTCCAGGATCATGACCTGAGCCGAAGGCAGTCGCTTAACCAACTGAGCCACCCAGGGACCCTGGAAATTTTTCTTTGTGTAAATTCACTAACTTGGCACTCTTCATTAGATCATGAGAAATAAAATTATGCTTTAATGTTAGGGAGTCTCATCCTGCCTAGAGGTAGGGGAACTAGGCTTTCTGTGAGCAGTTGGTGGTTGATCACTGAATATTATCTTTTGCTCACCACGCCAGCAGGCAGAATGACATAAGCAATGACAAAAAAAAAAAAATCCCAAAATTATAGTTCATGAATAAGAGCTTACCCTGCAGATCATGTAGACATATTTGTTATCCTAAGGCAGCAATTAAAACCCATAATATATGATTTAGGAATTTAAGAGAAATTGTCAGTCAAAATTATTTTTATCAAGTAGATATGCAGTGAAACTTTGCTCATTATGACTATTCTACTGCCTGTATTTTACAGAATCCCAGGAAACCCTCCAAATCAATGTTCTAATTCAAGTCCACACCACTTCTTGTCCTTTTCACTACTGTTGTCCACTCTTCTTTAAAGTGCTCATCTATCAAATCGTTGTATACTTAGCATTTTTAAAAGCAGTTAGCTTTTTTATATAGCTGGATTATTTTTATTAAGAATGATTTTATAAAATTAGTAAAATGTGATTTAATGCATCTATATCTTTTATGTATGGATAAGTCCAGGAATCACAAAACAACCTTGCGTATTAAGCAGTAGAGTTAAAATTTTTTTTGTTAAAAAATACATGATCTTTGATTCTAGAGTCTTATCTCTCTCTCCTTCTGCCTCCAAGTATTTAACTATTCTAGGAAACTAGCTCAGAGACCCATCTTGTTTTCAGGGTTGTACTTCTTCCTAATCAATACAAAGAAGCAGACAGTAATAAAAAGGACAAGTAATAGTTTTAAGAAAATTCCAATTTGTCAGCATAGGTGCATCTGATTTATATTGCAATACAAATGGGTAAGAAGGCTATAAAATGACAGGAGCTTTCCTGGGCTACTTCTCATGGGTAGTTTTGTGGAAATCCCAATTTAAGGACAGAATTCAGCTTAAAACTTCTAGCGAGTGTGTTGAAATTGTTAGTCTTTCAACCTATATGACTTTTTTTCCTGGGTATAGTTTCCCATGGATTAGGAAGGCAATGTACTTCTGATGCTCATAACGTTCTTCCTTTGGCTTTAGGATATTTCTACTAAGTTTACAGACTTTGCTATCCTTTCTGTCCTTCTGGAATTTTCTTAGCTTCATCTTGAAAGGGTATGTCACCATTTCAACACCATTCCAACCATTAGATAAGTGCTGGCCTCTCTGCTAAGAATCTGTTTATTTTACGTAGGTTCTCGCCACACCCCAATCCAAAACCTATTTCCATTTAACTTCTGAAAGGACAGAAGCTTCATGACTGACATCCTTTCCAAACAAATTTCTGACTGAGGGATGGAGGTATGTATTCATAACTCATTTATTATTCTAGTTTCCTAGGATAGTTAAATACTTGGAGGCAGAAGGAGAGAGAGATAAGACTCTAGAATCAAAGATCATGTATTTTTTAACGATAAAAAATTTAACCCTACTGCTTAATATGCAAGGTTGTTTTGTGATTCCTGGACTATCCATACATAAATGATACAGATGCATTAAGCCACACTTCCCTAATTTTACAAAATCATTCTTAATAAAAATAACCCAGAGACAACACACATGGGAACCTTTCCTAACCGAAGTTAGCAGTTTTACCCATTGTGTACAAATATATTTTTAAATGATGAGAATCCTCAATTTAACAGGGTTTTTTTTTTTTTTTTTGCATTTTAAAGAGGATTTGAGGTAACCCAAATAGCTATTGATAAGAATATCTAAGAACAGAGAGGCCTGGGGACAAGCAAAAACTTTACATCAAACCCCATCTCTTTATATCGAACAATTTCTTTGTTCTTCCTACCTACTATCTTTTTGCAAAAAAAAAAAAAATTTTTATGGAAAATATGGCTTTAGGGATCCCAATTTGTACCCTAATAACTAGGAGCAGAAATTACACTCACCTGCTTCATTACTGCTCATTCCCCTACAGCCACCAAAATAAGGCAGTGAATTTTCAGTTAATAGAGAAAAGATTAATGCTTTCTTGATAAGGTTTTACATCTGAATTAATAAGATGGCATAATCCAGTTCTTGCTCTGGATACCAAAGAATTGAACACGACAAGCACTTTTGTTTTCCCTGTAGTATGTTGCGACACAAAATTGGATGAATCAGAGAGCCAAAGAAGTGAAAGAAAATACAGCGATTTAATAGATATTTTACTCAGTACCTACACCATACTAGACCAGGGTACAGAATGACAGTTGCACTCGGCCTCAGAGGGGACATGGGGATCTCAGGGAGTGTGGGGCATAATGCATCTACCAATAATATACTTCGGTAAAGGACATGACATGTGTCATGGGAACTCAGAGTGAATATCATTATTCCTTACAGATTCACATAGAAGCAAGCATCTCTCCAGAACATCTGAGGAGCATATATGTGTCTAATCGATGCCACCATGTGTAATACAGTTGCTTTAATCTGTTCTATTTGTTCACTGTAGCATTTTACATTTTTATCAGTTATGGCTGGAAGATTCTCTTCTACTTAAGATATTACTATTGATGATGATATAAATGCTTCCTGACCATTGTCATTTGTAGGGATTAGAAAACAACCGACATGTACCAGCCATGGTGTTCTAGAAATTGATTTATTAAGGATACATCTATGAATCACACAGGACCTCTTTTTATGTAAATATTGAGGACCAGTGGTCTTATATTTAAAAATGCCAGCTTCGGGAAACCCCACTGGTTTCCCCTGCCATGAATAAACTGGTTGCTTGCAGGAGCTATCCCAAGAGGCCATTCAGAGGCCATTATTTCACTGTGAAGACTCTGTTTAAAAGAATAATTGGTATCGATAACACTTACCTGTGTATGCAGAGGGAAGGTTACCCAGCCATAACAAGCCCATAATCACACAGCCACTACTTAAAACAACGCAGGGTTTGGGATTTATGAGAATAAGTCCTGTCAGTAATAATGCCCTTATCGGGGCCTTCTCGATTCATTTGGCATCCGCTGCCATGTACTCACAGTCAAATCTGCCATGTGGTTATAGGCTAAGGTGCTGCATACAAGACAAACGATACCCACTGAAAAGATTTACTTCTCAAAAACATGGCTTCAAGTGCCTTTATGCTTTCGTGTTCCTCTAAAACAGCCACAGGACCATTTCAAATGTAAAATCTGCAATATAACTAGTGATTATCTTAAACAGTTGCTTAAGGGGATTGGAAAAATGAGGAGAAACAATTACCATTACGCAGAGAGATGGATCGAGCATGAATCAATGCGGCAGGAACATAAGGAAACAGACATGGGGCTAGACAAGGGAAGGGACCCCCAAACAACGATGATGACAACAACAACAAAGATCATCGCTTAACCTGTTTTGTCAGAGCTGGTATTGATGGTATTGGTAGTGATGGAGGTGAAGGTAGTCTTTGCGCTGTCCTTGGCAGTTACAGATTTCTGCTTATTTTTCATGGCTTCCAGTGCTTTGAGCTTCTTGGCATGTTTCGTGCCTTTGTAGTGGGCCGCAGCCTGGCTCTACAAAGGAGAACAAAATGAACCATGCAATCAGGCTCATTTCTAAACTGGCATTCTCTGTATTACTGCAAATACAGACTCCCTTTCAATAATAGGTACCATTCAAGCTAATTCTGGCAGTGGCCAAACAGTAGGGCTCTATTTAGAATGATGCTAGAAAGCAATGGGAATCAAGTTCTGTAACCTCGGGACCGAAGGAAGAAATATTCTATCATTTCTCTTAAGAGAAATGTAGCTGAACACTAACACGTTGACAACATTTTCTTGGTGGAATGGGGGAAAAAAAAGAATCTATACCCATATTGCTTTTGTTCTGCCATAGAAGATGCTGGGCTCCCAAAGATTAACAAGGGCCCCAGAAAAGAGTAACTCTCTTGGCTCAGGAAATGTGTTTTCTCTTTCTACAATATATCTTATTAATATGATCCCCAACAGGTGTCTACAAGGAAAAGTTCACATATAACAAGGGAAGTGGGCACCCTGGAGACTAAGATTGAAGCTCGAGAGTTCAAAAGCAAATGCACTAAGTCCAGATGAAGCACACAGAAGTTGGGCAATTTCCTGATCCTTTCTTTCTCCTCACTTCCTACAGAGGCAGCCTGAGAAATTCAACGGAGTGGCATTCCTTAAACACGTGGGTCTTTCATGCCCTAGTCCATTGTCAGGAGGCTCCAGTGTGTTTTGACTACTTAATGGGGCCAATACTATTCTTTTATCCATGACTTCTGAGATTTGAACAGTAATAGACATTTTTCCAAGTTTACATTTTCTTAACACGATTTTGTTGTTGTTCTTACTAGAGACATATTAATTGAGATAGAAAATCATTTTAAAGAATTCTGTGTTTATTAATGTTCACTGGAAGAAAAGAAGACTTGGTGGCTTGGGGTGGGATGGGAGTGGGCAGGGAGATTCTTAGATCAGATTCTTAGATCAGCTCAAAACCCTTAAAAAGTCTCACAAAGAAGAAATCTCAGTGGAGGACTATATCGGTTAGGCTACCTACCACTTCCCACGACTTATTTAAACTCCATGTTCTGGCTCCATTTCGCCAGAAAAAATAATAACCACACTGTCCTCTTTGTCATAGCAATGGTGGGTAGGTAGGGTTGCAGTATAATATCTTTTTATAAATAGATAAATAAATAATCCACACCTTCATTTGCATCATTCTGACAAGTATTCTCAAAGGACTAGGTACCCTTATTGAAAGAACACTGGACAAGGAAATTATATTAGAAACAGTCTGAACAGAGAGGACATTCATGCATCAGTTACAAGTTTTCCAACAACACATAACATCAAAAGACAGTGTGAGCCAAAACGTGAAGTTAAGACTTGCTATAGTTAACTGAAAAACCAGTGATAAATTGGATTGGGTTGATTCTACATAAAGAATGCCACTTTGATGGACAGAGTTGCATCCCCTTTTTTCCTGCTTAGTTCTCCTTTTTAATAAATCAAGTCCTTTGGCCCTATCTTTTGAGGGCAATATGCTATAGTCAATTAAATCCACAATATAGACAGTCATCTTTTCTAGGCAGCTGGCTATGTACTTTCCTGTAAAGCGAAGTTCCTCTCTTCTCTCTGTCAGCATTCCTACCCTTGACATAGAAGTGAATGTTTTATATATAATACACTTTAAAAGACAGGGTTTAGTTTAACAATGCTATCTGCACTTATACCTCCAAAATATACATTTTAAGATTCCTAGCAAGTCTTCATCCTCAGTAGTATTTCAAATCAGACAAGACTTTATTTTAACACACCAGAGGTCCAGGTGAATGTTGCTATTTTGGATATTCGGAAACTAACTCCAAAAAAACCCCTGCACGTGAAGAAAGTACTTATATCCCCAAAATGTTCTCTGCACAGGTACAGCTAAGCCAATGCTTTCAACCAGTGAAATGGCTCAGGGAGTCATGAGGAGAAGGGGGTGACAGAATGAGCAATAGTTGGTGGTGGGCTCCCAAGTGAGACACCTGATCCATTAAAAACATGATAAAAAACGCATACTCACTTGAATACTTGAATGATAGTCCCAAAGCATCTTGATAATAATTATGTCAATTAAAAATTATCTGACTTAAAAAAAAGGTAACTAAGCCTTTTCTAAATTTGAAAAAAAAAAACAAAAAAAAACAAATGAAGATCCAAAGTGCTATGGAAAGATCAGGACATGTAAAATTTAGGGGAAAGATAAAGTATAGAGGGATTGACTGCCCTGGAGGTGATCAATGTGATTATGATGATGAAGGGCATATGTGTTGGGGGAGGAGGTGGACATACAGGTTGGAAACTGAATGTAAACAGATAACTCTTTCTGGATATTTTACATTTCCTTTGTCATAGACCTTTATTTAATGTTTGTAGAATTTATTGTACTGCTCTTGGATTATACTGGTATAAATTTTTCTAGTCTATGCATGTTGACCCCATAACTTCTGATCCATCTTGATACAGGTGTGTTGTATAAAGGTGTGTTCCTTGCATAAAGGAAGTACACCCAGCGAGCTCTCTTTACCCCTTTTGGCCACTTCCTGGACTGAATAAATTATTCAGCCCCATCTAATATTTCTGTAACTATAGACAAAGCTGGAGTCGCTGGGAGTTTTTTTAAAAAGCAGTAGTTGGTCAGAGATATTTCTTTGGGCCTCAGCTGCTTTTTCTTTGGGTAGAGAGGCGCTGGATGCACCTTACCACCCCATATTCCCTCTGGGGTTGTTTCTATTATTAGCCATTCTCTGAATCAAGTCACTCCCAGAAGCCTGGGAACCATCAGACACAAGCAAACATTATTTTTTCACAAGAATGGTTTCAAGGTTAAATAAGTGTACTATTTCATTGCGGCACATTTCAGCATTCTGTATTTTAAAACTGAAACAGAATCAGATGATCATAGTACACACAGAAGTGAGCAGAACAATAGATATGGGGCTTTGACAACTTCTTTTTAAATAATGAGTGTAGTATTAGGGTACTGTATAATAAACATTACTACTACCAACCTTGAAATAGCACATGACAGCATGAAATCTAACAAGTGTCATCCCAGAGGCAAGTGCTGACATTAAAGATATGCACACGCATTCCTGTAGAATAGAATGATGCCACTTTAAATGTCATCACCACATCCTAGTCATCAGTAGCTAGACTTTCTCATCTTCAAATTTTATCTTTAGTATTTCAAAATGGCTTCAAGTTTAAATGCAACTGAAGTCCCAAAGTAGAAAAAAATAATTGTCAAATGGCCAAAATTGGGAGAGGAATCTCTTTCCTTTGAAACACACACATACACATTTATTTTACTGATCAAAGTGGGAGGCCAATTGATAAATCACTTTTATCTTATGAAACTCACTGAATAATTTTATGTTAATATTCATCTATCATTTTATCTCATTAGCACCAATACATTGTACATTTTTACTCTACCTCTCTCTAATATGAGGTGTCTTAATATGATTTTTAAAAACTAAGTTTATTGTTAGCACACACATCTAGTTCCCATAACCAGCTAGTTTTCATGAACACATATCATTTCAAAAGGAACATGGTAGTCTTTGTTAGTTTGTGATATCAATGTAATTTTGCCACATATGAAATTGCATTAAAATTAAATGAACATTATCATATTAAAAGGTAACATCAGAAAAAGAAAGAGTAGTTATTAGAGAAGTTGTAATCCTTTTTGAGGAGGGGAGAGATAATACTTGAGCCAGAGGAATTTTTTCTTCCTTCCCCTTCCTTCCTTCCTTCCTTCCTTCCTTCCTTCCTTCCTTCCTTCCTTCCCTCCCTTTCTCTCTCCCTCTTTCTTTCTAAGAAATTATCTGATATTTTTAATTTTAGCTTAGATTATTGTTTTAGAGATAAAGAGGAAAATAAAATGATAAAACATGATATAATATCCTAAACTCTAAAACACTTACTTTAGATTTACATTTTAGGAATTATTAAAAATTACTTCAGGGAAAAGTTCAACATTTTTATTTATCTATGTACAGTTGTTTTTATGTTGTATATATTCATTCAAATGTAATACTGAGGCAGTGTTTACAGACTCAGCCCTATAGGTTAGGGCCAGTGTGCATTTTAAATTGGTCAGCAGCTTATTAAATATTTTGAATATCACTTTTGTATATACCAATCCTTAATGTATCTTAATTCTTTTATTATCAACTCTCAGCTTCATTTAACATTGATATAAATAAAGAATTAGTTCTCAAAGTGTGGTCCCCAGACCAGTATCAGCAGCAGCAGCTGGGATCTTGCTATAAATGCAAATTCTCACCATCCATCCCAGACTACTCAATCAGAAACAAGGGAGCTGGGGGGCTTAGCAATGTGGGCTTTACAACCTCTCCAGGTGCTTATAATGCATGCTAACGCTTCAGAACCACTCATCTTAAATGTGTTAGAGCATTTTCTTCAAAGATGGCCCCTTCTTTAATAAATAGCCAAAGTTTAGATTTTTTAAAAAGATTTATTTGTTTAATTTTAGAGGGGCGGGGAAGGGCAGAGGGAAAGAATCTCATGTAGACCCCTCCTGAGTGTAGAGCCCAAGGAGGATGCAGGGCTCAATCTCAGGACCCTGAGATCTGACCTGAGATGAAGTCAAAAGTCGGTCACATAACCAACTGCACCACCCAGGTGCCCCTTAAGTCTAGATTTTTTAAGATTAATATTTAATCATTTAACATTTACTAAATGTGAACAATGGGTATCACCCAAGAAAAAACAAAAGCTTCTTTCCTTAAAAACAAGTCATAACAAGAAATTAAAAAAATAACTCGGATACACAGGTAGTTGGGGAACTTCTATCAAAGAGGGATGGATGCAAAAGAGCAAATCAACCTTAGTAACCTCCAAACAATTCTAAAACCCCATAGAAGTGCTTCCCAAGTCCTTGAAATTTTCTTTCTAGTTTTTACCTTTTCTTTTCAAGCTAATTATTGTTGCAGCATGACCTTCTGACCCCATTATTTTACCTTTATATTGAA